TTCATTCTGTTGTACATAGGGTTGCTATGAGCTGGAATCGACTCTACAGCCCCTAACAACAACAACAACCTCTAACAAGATTCCAGTTACTTCTCTACCCTGTAATTATGTGTAATTCAAAATAAAAATACAACCTAACCTCATAATTGTTGTTGTTAATAGGGGCTGTCGAGTTCATTTTCGACTCATAGCAACCCCATGTGACAGAGTAGAACTGCCCCATAGGGTTTTCTAGTCTGTAATCTTTACAGGAACAGATCTCTAGGTCTTCCTCTTGCAGAGCTGCTGGCTGGGTTGGAACTGCCAACCTATTATTTAGAAGCCAAGTGCTTAACTCTTGCACCACCAGGAATCCTTAAACCCTATAATAAGTATACTAAAAAGTCAAATTTTTTTCCTTTGAACATTTTATGAGGTAGTTTCCAAAAAAAAAAATTTTTTTGTGACCTACATTTGCACTTAGTTTTATTAATAGGTAATTCAGTATTATCTAAGGTATAGGAGGGACTTACCAAGTCTCCATTACAAAATCAAAGCACCCTGCTTGATACAAGTTAGAGAATGATAGACGAATGACTTCTAGTGCTACACATACAGCATATTTTTACAATCCTTTTTTATATATTCTGGCATTTTAAAAAATGGATCACAGAGAAATGAAGTATAATACCAGTAAATAATATTCTATTACTACATATTCCTCAACAGTTTCCAACACCATTAGGAAAACAAAAAAAACATCATAGGAATATATTTAAATACTTACTTAAAGGACAGGATCTCTAGGTACCAAAGTTTCAAAAGAAAGATATTTTTAATTTTCTTTAAAAACATCAAACACTAAAAAATGGTTTTTTTTAAATCAATTATCCAATAAGTTTTGGGGAAGCCTTGAGCTCTGACACTGTTCTTTATGCTTCTCAAAGTGTCATGAAGGGGGACAGATGGAGACATATGTCCCAGGGGTTAGTTTGCGACACAGAAGCCAGGCTTTACACATGTGGCTGCAGCAGTGGGGAGAGAGGGTGGGTGTGAACCTATGTATCACCCAACCACCTTTCCCCTAAACTCAACCCAGCACCATTAATCCTTGCTCTGCCACTGCTCTGTGAACTCAATACTGTATTCACATTTACCAAGAAATGCAACAACCCTGCGTTTATCTCAGGCATCTGTCATTTAGACTCTCAAGAGAATGGAAGTGAAAAAGGCAAATAACATCAGTACCATCTGGAAAATAGTTTGGATCTCACAGAACCTCTGAAAGGGTGTTGGGGACCCTCCAGGGTTCCTTAGGCCATCTTTGATAACCAATAGCCTCAATTCTGCTCTAAAACTGACTGAGGTTCATTTTAGTGGGGTTGCTTAATCTCTACTATCATTAATACAAAGTACTTTCAGATCAAGGTTTTTGGGAAAACAGAAGCAGAAAACTTCCTGAATAGAGTTCAAAAACATTTGGCTCTCACACTGCATAAGCCTGGTTATAACTTATTTTTTAAAAGAGATCAAAATGAGACATATTATGCCACACCAATACTAACTTGCTGAATCTCAAACATTGTTCTAGATTTAACAGCATGTAGAATAAATAACGCATCACAATATGTTGTTAAAACATCGGATTGTTACAATGTTATCTCCTAAAGCTACTATTTTGGCACTGATCCAGATGCTACATTCCACACCCTGTCCAGTTTTACTACTTCCTATGATTATAAAAGACTACCCCCATAGTTTCTGTATTTGCTTATAAAATAATGAAACATCCTGAATTTTTCTCAAACAAATCTTGATATCATAATTTTAAAACATCATGTTAATTTTAATATCTGAAAAATAATGATTTAATGGTTATTTTAGATAATGTGGTTAATTTCAATTTAACTAATATTTTTCTGTGTCTCACAATTATAGAATAATAATATGGTCAGTAAATTTATGTATGCCTTCTGTCCTGAAAAGATTGATAATGGTTATTAAAGATGTACCAGCTCATTTGGAATGTCTCCGAAGCTTTGAATTGAGATGTACTTTTCACGTAATGTAATTTAAAACTGAACAAAGCCTAGATATTTCAAACTTGACCCCAAAACAATAGTTCAAGTACTTACTTTACGATGTCTCCTTCAAGAGCAATCACTCTCTTAATGATCTTCTGTTCTGGGTTTTTAGGGGACCTAGAAGAGTAAGATAAGGTTATATAATCAATTATGTCTCTGTTATTTTAAGAAAATAAAAAGAATTGTACAATAATATACCAAAACCAACCCACTGCCATCGAGTCAATTTTGACTCATAGCAACCCTGTAGGATAGAGCAGAACCACCACATAGGGTCTCCAAGGCTGTAAATCTTTACAGAAGCAGACTGTCGCATCTTTCTCCAGTACAATGAAATAAGCTATATTAAAGTCATTACAAACTCCTTCGCACTTATGGCATGGCATCAATCCTACTTAGTTCGAGTGATATGAAGCTACTATTGAAGTAATTCTCATTTTAAATCTCTGGGCGAAAAGAAGCTATGTGGAAATTTTATAAAAATTTTTTAAAAAATCAATGGATATTTTTATTATTAAAAATAAATACTTATAGGAAGAGGATTCAGACACAAGAAAATGATCACACATTTCTTTATGATAATGTAAGTAAGCTTTCTTATTTTCATTTAAAATAAACAGAGATGTTTAATCTAAATTCTCAAGAAACCACTGAAGATGAAAACTTTTTTTCTTTTTAATGAAGAATTAGAGGATTATTTTAAAGTACATTATTAGGTAGAGCCATTCAAAGATTATGTAATACAGAGTGCTTAAACACAGCTACTGACGGTTAAAAGAAATTGATAGGTTCAGATATACTTAAAGCAGACTTTATTTATTTAAACTACTTGATGACGGTAATCCTAACATAGCATTCTTCTTCATATAGTCCAGCTTCTTGGATTATTTGCTCAGCATACAGATTGAATAAGTATGGTGAAAGGATACAACCCTGGCTCCCACCTTTTCTGACTTTAAACCACGCAGTATCCCCTTGTTTTATTCGAACGACTGCCTCTTGGTCTATGTACAGGTTCTGCATGAGCACAATTAAGTGTTCTGGAACTCCCATTCTTTCCAATGATATCCATAATTTGTTACGATCCATACAGTCAGATGCCTTATCATAATGCCAAAACCTGCAATACGCAGATGACACAATCTCGCTTGCTGAACGTGAAGAGGACTTGAAGCACTTACTCATGATTAAAGCTGCACAATGAATAAGGGAAACCAAAGAAGAATTGATGCATTTTAATTATGACATTGATGAAGAATACTAAATATTTCACGGGCTGCCAGTAAAGTGCAAGACCTTCCTTGAGATGGAGTGACACAGTGGCTGCAACAATGGGCTCAAACATAGCAATTGTGGAGATGGTGCGGGACTGGGTGGTGTTTTGTTCTGTTGTGCGTGGGGTCCCTAAGAGTCAGAACAGACTCGAGGGCACCTAATAACAAAACATTATGGTAAATGTTTACTTGTGGTAATTTTATTTGCTCTAAACAAATCTCTGCCTCCTGGTATTCATTCACACCCTTGTTCATTTCCCTCCCACACTGTAACAAGTTTGGTCTGTGAGCTAAATAGAGTATAGTAAAAGTTATGGTATATCACTTTCCAGATTGGGTTAGAAATAACCTTGAGTTCACACTCTCTCTCTCATGGATCACTTACTCTGGTGGGGGCAAGCTATGTTGTAAGAAGTCGTAAGGAGAGGCCCATGTGGTGAGGAACTGAGCCTGCCAACAGTCACGTGAGTTTAGAAGCAGATCCTTCAGCTACAGTGGCAAGTCTTCAGAGAATGCAGCCCTGGCCTGATTGCAACCTCATGAGAGACCCTGAGTCCTCAGAAAATGTGTGAGATAATTGTTTGTTGCATTAAGTTATTAAATTTAGGACTAATTTGTTACGCAGCAATGAATAACTCAATCTTTATAAGGTCAATTTCCTGCCAATAACATCTTAAAACTTATGATTTAAACAGACACATTTCAAAAAACAGATTACATACATAATAATTTAATATATATTTGAAAATGTAGGATAGATAAAAATAATTTTAATTCAAGTTACATTACATTTTGAATAAAATTAGAAAGGAAGGTAAATGCATAAAACTGAAAAGATTAAATATATTGAAAATGTACTTTTAAAAATGTAGTTTCAAAAATATTTACGTTTCACAATATATTGTGCAGAGAAAATGAAATCATCTAAGCCAGTTGCATCTACTTACGACAATTTCACAGTTTTTCACTAAATTAATGACAAATATTGCTTATTTTAAAAAGAAGTTTGATCAGAGTTTTTGACTGACCTCTCCCTTTCATTGAATTGACTAAACATTTACATTTATATGATTTTAATGTCATTTATGGACAGCTAGAGTTAGGGTTCTGGGCATAATCAAGCTGACAGAATTCTTGTCATCTGTGCAGGGCTACTTAGAAAGTGCCCTTCCCATGTCCCCCTGTTTAAGTGACCGGAAATGTATAAAACAATATTCAACCTCAGTGGCCACCAAAAATTGCATACAAAACAATGCAATATCACTTTCCTATTATATTGACACTAATAAAATAATAATAATAATGTAATAATACAGATTGTTTTGAGGGTTAGGGATACGGGTACTCTACATATAAGGTATGAGGTTATGTAAATGCCTTTCTGTAAGGCAATCTCAAGATTTCATATTCTCTTTAACATAACAATTACGTTTTAGGTATTTATCTTAATGAAATGATTACGGGTGTATGTAAAATTTTAGCTACATGGATGTTCAAAGCAGTGTTACTTATAAAAAAGAAAAGAGAAAAAAATTAACAGGAAGTTGGTTAAATGAATTACAGCCCATGTACATAAGGAAATACTTCCCAGTCATTAAAAATGTTACAGAAGAACATACAATGATTTGGAAATATCAAGAGAATGTGTGAATTGAAAATTGCAATTTATAAAATACTACATGTATTTTTTTTGTGTGTAAATTATTAGGAGTAATCACAGGGGAAAAATGTACACGCGTTAGTACTGGGAAAGGACCAGGAAGGGTGGTAACCAAAAGGAAAAAAAAAAAGTTCTATATGTGTTAAAAGCTCTCATGCCTGGATTTATGGCCCAGTTTATCGGGAAGCCCATTGGCAAATGGCACCTGTTTGTGTCACATGACATTACCTGACAAAAAATGCTTTAAGACGGGGTAAGATCTGAACTAATTCTCCCACCTAATATTGAGGCCGGGTTCATGTGAATGAAATGATATGTAAAGCAACCCCTAAAAAACATAAAAAAAAATTTTATGCCAACAACCTTTAAGCTTTTGAGAAACTTGAAAAGTATTTTATATTTTAAAATAATCTATATTTTAAGATCATGAGACAAAATAGAATATGCAAAGTGAGCTATCTATATAATTAAAGTCTCATGAATTACTACTTCAAATATATCTATAAATTTTAATGTAATATTAAACTCATGAATCTAATCAAATGATTCAAAATGAAAAAATGCTATTACTAGCATTAATCCCATTACTGCTCAAAATCTCTATCTATATTTTAGTCATTAGGCTGTTGAACACATTACTTTGATGTAAGTAGAAGTGGAACAAGAGTTATTACGGATTTACAGTGTGAAAGTTATGAAACTTCCCTTTGTCTTAATTTTCTTGGCCACATGCCTATCTGCTAGAAAGTGTGAAGAGTAACAAAGTATTAGGCCTTACTTGAGGAATACAGTGTATGCTGTCCAATGAATACTAAAATTTGCACCTAAATTTGTAATTTTAGCATTTTCATAATAAGCAATGTTTTACAATATTTATTTCTGAGACCTGGATTTTTAAAATTCTGTTTTATGCCCGTGACTTAATTAGGCAGGGCTGTTCCACAGACTCAGACAAGGAGCCTAGAATTGTCTCTATGCTGCAGAGATCTCCGTGGACCCCTTTGGTGTGGCAAAATGTGTCTCCATCCAGGATGGTTGTGGGGTGGGGAACAGCATCTGGCATAATCATGATAAGATTTCCCTAAAATGACATTCAATGTCCTTCTTGAATTTCACTTCCTATCTTGATAGAAATGTTGCCATTTTACCCTGTGCTGGACCAAACAGAGCCATGCCTTAGGTCTCGTAATCTCTGTTACTGGTCTCATGTTCTTTTATATTTCCAACAAGTCATAATTTTGACTGTCTGGAGCAGTGAGAACGTACTTTGAGGTACCTCAGAGATCCCCTCCTGGTGTTTGTGGGGATGGGGGGATCAGCTTGTGTCCCGACTTCTCTGTTCTTGACCCCCACCCCATCCTGAAATCACACATTAATATACCTTAACCCTGGGTCTAGGCACTCTCACTCTTCTTCCATTTATAGTGCAATTCTAAAACTTTCCTCTGGGAGTTGTATAAATTTTTATATTTACATGGTTCAGCATTGGTCCAGATTATCAAAGAACTAAACTCAGGAATAAAAGTTACCTTAGCAACAGTCTAATATAAGCATTGATCTCTCAAATACATAGTTAAATCCATATCTCCCAGTGAAGAAGACCTCGGGTGGTGCAAACAATTAACACATTTGGCTGCTAACTGAAAGGTTGAAGGCCCAAGTCTACCCAGAGGCACCTTGGAAGAAAAGCCTGGCAATCTAGTTCCAAAAAATCTGCTATTGAAAACCCTATGAAGCACAGTTCTATTCTGCACACATGGGGTCGCCATGAGTCAAAACCAACTTGATGGCAACTAGTACTGTGCTGGTATCCCAGTGAGTCTAAATTTGAACTCTTCATTAAAGTAAATAAGGTAAAAGTAAGAACTAATAATATGGGGGTGCCTAATATTAGATAGGCTATCTTTCACTTTTTTAAAGGGTAATCATGCATTAACCATATAACTTTACATCTTCATAACAAAGAATAAACTGCTGTTGTTTTAATCATCAAAATATGAATTAGAATAGTCCATGCAACACAGCTATAAGAAGTCATATCAAATGATAGTCTCCCCCACTTTTTGGAAAATGTTTCCTGGGTTTGACAAGGTTTGCATAAATGGTTAGAGCTAGAAAGGGCCTACAAGTGTATCTAGCACTTTTTCTGCAACTTTTAATCTCACTCGTTTTCCATGGCTTAA